CTGTTTATACTATAGGGGAAGGCTCTTTGAAAGCTGCTTGTCATACAGCCTGGTGGTTTATTCATCATGGAACAATTCCATTAGAGCCTGATACATGTTCTCATGGCACCAAGACTTGGGATCCCTCAGGAAAAGCATTTAACCCTTGAAAACGCAACGCTGTCATTTACCTGTCACCTCTCTCTGAAAACCTACTGGCGCGTATTTATGAGAGCTTTGAATCAGCCTTCATTTCCATAGAGTTAGAAATGGGGTTGGGACCCAGTAAACGATCAGTAAAAACTGGTAAGTGTCCAGTATGATGTGCAACAGCCGTGATGGGTTTACATCGTTATCAATGAAATGACATTTTATAAAATAATGCATAATAATTAGTAATAATAATAATAAAATGTCACTTCATAAAATAAAATGTCATTTTCCAGGAATTCAGTGTACAGAATTCCACTATTAAGAGTGGATAAAAACGGGGAATCAATTTACCTTATCGCTCCTAAAATATGTTTGAAAAAATTCAGGGTCTGGATATTATTTAACTTCTAGTCCTGTCTCCTTGGAAGTGGGCACCCCAGTCTTATTTTAAAGGTTTTTAGAAAAATTCTTAAAGTTAGTGTATATCAACCATGGAGACTTAGCAGTCTTAAAAGAATGAACTGAAGTAGTCATGATCTGAGAATTAATACCCCTTTGCCAGGCATTTACTAGCAAAGGATGGGGGTGCCATTTGTCAGAGCTTGTCAGGGGGCTGTTCCCCAGGGAGGCAGTCCAGTGGAGTCTGAGAATTCTGTGTCTGGTGCCAGACTGCCTGGCTTCCAGTTGAAGGGATGTCGCTTGCTGGCTGCAGGACTTGGACAAGTTAGTTAACCTTGGAGCCTCTTGTGTCTTCAACGGTAAATGGAGATAACGTCTCTTGGGGTTTTCAAGATTATTCAATGTAAGAATCCACTGTGGAGTAATCCAGTGTTGTTTTTAGCAAAGTTTTATATGGGTCAAATGGGTCTGGAAAGGTGGCGTAGATCACTCAGAGTTTTATTTGGGGTATTTGTGGGCTTAATGTGTCTATGTGTGTCTGTTGTTTTGTGATTCCCTTTGATGTCAGTTTTCCAGAAGGTATGATACACAAGTGATTGTGACATCTAATATCCCCAATCCCATTCCATTTATGGAAGAACAGGTTGGCGAGCCCAAGGCACAGGTCTACCAGTGCTTCCAGAGTATATCTCTGAGATTGGATTAAAGTTGAGATAACCTTTGTGTCATAAACAAATAAATAAAAGGTTGGGCTGAGCTTTTCAGAGAATGCATGGTAAGAGTAACCCCCAGAGCAGGGCAGGTGATGCAGTGAGCAGTGGCGCAGGGCATCGGGACAGACAGTGAATATGCATGGAGCCCAAAGCACTTGACATGAAAAGAAGAATCCAAGGGCCAGATACACAAGCAGGCGTCTAGTAACATTCTGCAGCAATTGGGGGTTTGTTATATGAATTGTTGACTCTTCAGAAGTCTTTGACCACTGCCACCACCATCCAAACCACAAGCACAGTCACCACTGTCATCACCACCACCATTACTGCCACCGTCACCACCATGACCACTGTCACCATGATCACTGCCATCACCGCCATCACCACCATCCCACCTCCAGTCCCGGCACCACAACAGCTCAGGGCCTGGAGGGGTTACAGCTGGGGATCCTTGCCTTTTGACCAAGCCTAACTTCTGCCTCCCCTTCTCTGTCTGAATTGTTTCTGTCACCTGCTCATTTCCCCATTACTGCCTGTCTCTCTGTCCTCCACCGCTGCCTCTAGAGGAAGGGGATGTACAAGCACACTTCCGCAGCCTTGCTTTTCTCTAAGAACAAATTATTGACCTTTTATCACTTGCTTTATAAATAACAAGAGATGCTCATTAGCCTGACTCAATAAATTTAAAATAATTGTTATAATTTTGGAGTGTCTGGTTTCATTTCTGTAATTGTATGCAGTTGCTGATGAGGGAGTAGGAGGGTTTCTGGGGAACAGTCGTCTCCCCCGGCCCTTTGCCTTTCTTTCTTCCTGTGCCAGTCCGTGCCCAGGGGCCATGTTTATTGCTGTCGCAGGATCTGCAGCATCTGAGAGATTCTCTGCCCTGTAGCTGGCTCCTCAGGGCCAGCACGACTCAGACTGCAGAAGGGGAAAATATTTTGCTGTGTTTTCCTCCACTCCTTCACTCCAAACCAAGTGTGATCTCAGGAAGAGTCCAGGTGAACCTGTTTAGGGAAGTCATAATGATGGGTTAATGGTGGACAAACCAAACACATGAGCATCACTTCCAAAATTCCAGCTTGTTAAAGAAGTAAAGTGGTGTGGAGAGGGCAGGCGTCCTCTCCTTTGTAGACAGTCAAAGACCACTTAATATAATCCCTGTATCTCAGACCTTTTAGTCCTTCTTCTTCCCTGCTCCTCCTCCACCTGCCCTTTTTCAGGACTCAGCTCAGGGCTGATCTGTTGGAGGCCCCTGATTCCCTGCGTTTTCTCCTGCAACATGGCACCCAGCTTGTCTGCTGCCAGCAGGCCACATCTCCCTTCTCCTGTTCTTCTCCCCCAGACCATGAGATTCTCAGCAGTGGGACAGGTTGGTCACAGCCCTCGTTATCTCCCCAGTATGTGACATGCTGGGGTTCAGGAAAGGCTTTTGGACTAAGTTGCATTGTACTTCTGCTGTTTGAAAAGGATACTGATTTTTAAGCGTGGATGACATGGTAACTTTGTCTAAAAGATTAAAGAGAGGCTGATCATTCTCATGTCCTTAAATTCTCCTGTTCTTTAAACCCTGCTGTGGTATTGATAGGGTCTCAGTGTTTCTCCAGAAATTTGTGTGCTGGAAGCTTGGTCCCCACATAAGGTGCTGAGGTGCAGGAACCTTTAAGTGGTGGAGCCTAGTGGAAGGTGACAACGTCACTGGGGTCACTACTTAGAAAGGGATGAAGATAGTCTTCAGGACTCTGGTTAGTGGCGGAGAGCGAGCCTTTATAAAAGTGCAAGCCTGGGCCCTGAACCCTTCTGGCTTCTGGCTTGCCATGTGCCTGCTGACTTTTTGGCATGCTCTTCCACCATGATGCCTTCTGCCATGTGACAGTGCCGCCTGGCCCGCTGGTCTATGGGTCACTTGGGGCACAGCTGTGGAGCGGCTGAGCTGGCTCCAGCACCTTTCTCCCAGCAGGGCAGCCTGGAAAGATGGCAGCAGCCTGATAAATGGTCACGTTTGACAAAAATGGGGTTACCATCCGCTCTTTAGGATCTGTAATTGTGGAAAATTTCTCTCTATGCTCATCCGTCCTGTTCCACAGGTCTGGGTTACATGGATGTGCTTTGTGAGTGTGCTGTGGAAAGGGATTGAATTTTTCTTTTGTTGCATGGGGGGTGTAAACAGTTATTTCAGATTATTCACAATTCCCTTAATGCTTCTCTCTGAATGGAAAAGAGCTTCCCTTTGTTTCATTTGTCCTGTTTTGCTTGTGTGGGACTCACGTCCATTACTAATCAGTACTAGGCTTATAGACCACAGGACTTAGAGGTATGGCTCTCTCTTGGGTAGCTCTTCTCCTCTGCTGCTGATGAACGAAGTGCTTTGGCCCTCACCATTCCTTCTACACGATGTCCTCTTTAGGACAGCATTTTGGTGATCAGAATCTTAAGTTCTGTGGCTTTTAAATTAAAGTCAGCCTAGTAATAAGACCATCCCTGTCTTTCTCAAGAGGGCATTGTGAGAATAGCGAATGGACAAACAGATAAAATGTTTTGAGTTCCACAGAAGGGAGAAACTGTTGGGCTCATTGGCATCATCATCATTATTTATTATTATCATTATTATTATTATTATTATCATTTAGGTTCATGCTGGTACAGTGTCATTACAGATGGATTAATTTTGGAAATGATAATTATGTGTTTAGACATCACTTCTTTCTCAGCCATCAAAATTGGCTTTGGCTTGATCCCTCCAAGAAACCTCAATTTATAGATTAAAAACAAATCCCCAGTGTTGCAAGGGAAAAAAAAACAAAAAAGGGAAATAATCAGAAATGTTTTCACTACATTTTTCACTGGCCATTTTTTTAAAAATCTAAAAATAAGTAAGTCTTTCAAAAAGAGTTGACCTAAAGGGCTTCTTTTCTAGGAATGTTCTGCATCTGCAATGAATAATATATCATAGCAGTTGGCTCCTCCACTTCCATGCAAAATATATAAATACATTTGGTGATATACATGGGAGGTGGTGATTCTTGTAATTTTTATGGAAAGAAGGAATAACTACAGATGATAGAGATTTTACCGTCTGCTGGTAACAAAGCAACATAGCTTATAGCACACGGTGCTTACCAAGTTCAGTGTGTACATGGGTCTGCCAGGACTTGGAATCCTAAAACAAGTCAGCGCCCCCAGGGAAGCCGACCTGGCTTTCAGCACATCAGTGAAAGGGCTCTTTGCTTCCAAAGTAAATGCCGTGGTCTTTGCAATGCCTGGAGAGCAGAGGAGCCAAGCAGGCCAAGCTTTCATGAGGAGAGGTGAAGAGAAAGGCTCTGGGTGGACTTGTGGGCACTTGCACAAATTTCACTCAGAATTAAAGAAGTGATGGCTCCCTGTGATCAGCCCGTCTTTATGACTCAGAGCATTCAGTGTTGGTGGAAAGGTGAGCGTCCAGATGCGCAGGGCGGGAAGGGGAGTGGGAAATTCTGACTTTCTCGTACAGTGGCATTTGCTTTCATCAGGTGGCATTTTAGCTCCTAGGTCTGAAATAACACATAGGGGTGGTGGTGCTGGTGAAGGAGAAGGAGTGGATGGGTTACCTTCAGGAAGGGCTGAAGCTCAGCGGAGCTTACAGAGCTGCCTGTGAGGGCGAGGGACTGGGAGAGATGCCAAAGAGAAGGCGTGGGAGCAGGCTGGCCTCGCTTTTGTGTTTCCTCACTGTCCTTTGAAGAAGTGGGCATGGTGAGCGTCGGGGTCACCTGACTGTGCCCGATGGCGGGAAGGTATGGCACAAGCTTTGCGGCAGTCCTGTGCAAAGATGCGGTGTGTTTCCGCTAGTGGGTGATATGGAAGTGGTCCATTCCTGCTCGGTGCGAGGAGCCACAGGCTCATGGTGAGCTGCACCTTGGAGTGCTTTCTGTACCCTCAGGCTTACAGCCTTGGGAGCCAGGCAGATTAGTTAGAGAGAAGTGGCTTCCCCACGTCTTCAGCTTTTGCAAATTATGACATATTCTTTCCTACTCGGCCCTGGGAATGTATTGAGTCTGGGATCTGCTGAATTCATTCTGGCGTTTATCCTGTTGCCTTTGCCTTAAACATCCAAGCTGTGTTGCAAAATAAGTAGAGTCTGTAATGTGTTTCTAGATTCTCCCCTTGTCTTTGCCTTTCCCATCACACCTCCCATTTGGGTTGTTTGGGACACTGATGTCCCTTCCCTTTGGTCTTTGGGGAACACGCACTCACACTGATACATAGAGTGAAGGCTGGTCGGGTTTAAAGTGTCTTCTTGTGGTGTTTACATTTCTTACAGGGGTGAAGACATCTTAAACCAGAGGAACGATTCTCTAGTTGTGGAGTTTCAGTCATCAGCCAGCAGATGCAGGAGGTATTACTTTGGGCTTGGAACTGTCTCAGAAGCCCAGCATCACCCTAAATGACCACCTGCCAGCTCCGTCGTACATAAGGCCACTTCATGAATCATACCTGTCCTGTGTTTGGGTGGCATGACATGGTGTAGGTGGCCAGCATGTTCTTGGAGGTCTCTGTGAAGTTCCATATCCTGGGTGGAGACCAGAGGAGAGTTCTGATACATGCAGTGTGATCTTTTGTCATTATTATTATTATTAAATATTTCAGTGCAAATGCTAATGTTGGACTAAAAGCTACAAGTTCCTAATAGAACCAGAATTCTCCTATTGGTTAAAGCCCTCTTCACACTCATCCGTAGCATGAATCATGTGTCCTCAGAGCTGTCTCCATGTGCAGCCCATGGAATGTTCATGAAAACCGGGCTTTCATCTGGTAGACGTCCGCTAGCAGGGTGAGACATTTGCACTCTCCCCTTTCAACGTGAAGCTTGGTTCTGGGAATGAGAGTATCTTTTCCACCTTGTGCCTCATTTATGTCAGTCACTGTCACCACAGCCTCCCCAGAAAGTGACCGTGGTGCTGGAGCTGTGAGCCTCTGGGTCGGTAGAAGATTCCAGAGCCAGCAGCCTCCCTTATCTGAAGGACGCTGGTTGGACTCCCAAACCTAATAACTTCGGGTAATGTACTAAGGATGAATTAAAATGCTAATAGTCTCCATGTTCTGGATATTTTAACATTCCCTAATTTTAAATTTAAATTAAATGCCTGAGGGGCTGTAGCAGCTTTGCCAGAAGCATGTTTTGCATCACTCCGTAGACAGAGAATTTAAAATATGTTCTGGCCACACAGGCAGAGCTAGGACAAGCAGTACTTATTTTACAGTTGTGCTATTTGTGTTCCCTACAGCTACAGAACACAAATACCCTCTTTTACTACAGATAGCTATTTAGCTTTAAACATTTTTATTTTACTAAATTCTTTTGCGTGCACGGATCCTTTTATTGTTAACCTACCTCAGTAAGTAGTCCACTGGATTTTGAAGCACTAAAACAGTTGCCAAGGTCTTTTATAAATTGTCTTTGCCTTGACACCTGATGACAACACCGTAGGTCATCCTGCGTTTTAACAGAGACACTGGGGTATGGAGAGATTGAGCAGCTTTCTGTCATCTGCCTCTGATGAGGGGACAGCTCCAGTTAGCAGTAGGTGTCCTGGTCCCCACCTCAGTAATCTGTGCACTGGGTCAAGCAGGAGTGCTACACGGTGATGGCAAAGCCATTTACATTAAATGCTTCTGGGAAATGAGGTCAGTGCCAGCTTTGACAGCTGTGTTAGTTTTTCTGATTGGTAGTACTGCAGTACTTCTGTTGTTACTGCAAATCCAGTGGGCCAGAGGAAACCAGTGTGTTTCCTTCCACCAAAGAACAGGTCACTTGCTATCACCAATTGCATTAGCCCCTTTATAATCTTCTTATTAGAGGAAGAACACTGGATTTCTCCCTTAGTTCTTCCAATGGTCTGGTGTCTGGCCACCTGATAGTTGTATTTTGAGAGACTAGATACTAATTTTCTTCAACCCAAAGGCTACGCTCCTGCAACACAACATAATTCAACTTGTGTTCGCTCCCTTGGTAGGATGTACCCCTTCCTCTTGGAACATTTTTCATAGTCAGGAGGAGCGATCGTGTCAAATGGGTCAGAAGGAAGAATTGATAAGAGGAGTCATTTGACGACTTGACTGATTAGCAGCGATCAGAGCATGGCTCATAACTGTGGAAACTGCTGCAGCATGGAGTCATAACAGCTGTTTAGGGAGCTAGTTAATGAGAGAATCACTACAGAAACACAGCCATGCAAAAAAAAAAAAAAATCCCAAACAGAAGCATTCCCGTGTAACACTCAGAGGCTGTGTCACCGGAGGAAGTATGCTCATAATTCCTATTTACACATCCCTGTAATTACTTTCTGCCTTCCGATTGCTCTCAGTCTTCTCCTGACAAAGTGGTTTAGATGGTTCCTTTTTCATGTATCAGGCAGAGAAGCCTCACACTGGTGGAAACCTGTTCTGAGGACTTCTCTCCCCAAACGAAGGTCACTATCAGGTACCAGACTCCTAGGGCCTGATTAGACTGGCTTTATTGGACCTATGTTCTTGTTGTTATTGCTCTTTGTCCATCACCCAGATGTCTGCATCCCGGTGAACGGTGCAGTGTGCTTCACCCTTTAAAGTTTGGGTTTGTTCTCCTTTCTTTCTCCTGATACAGTGTCTATGAGCCAGATAGGAATGCGTTACGGAGGAAAGAACGGGAAAGAAGAAACCAGGAGACTCAACAGGATGGTGGCGCGTTCAACTCCAGCTACTCCCTCTTCAGTGAGCCCTACAAGGTAGACAGCTTTGGTTGCTCGCCCTCACCCCTCGCTGACCCCTCACCCTGCCATGATGGTGGTCGTGATGGAAGGGGCTGACCCGACAGACTCCAGGCAGCCTCTGCCTCTTCAGCCAGCATGCCCGGGTCTAGTCTTTACTGGCTTCTGCTTCAGTAAAATGTAACTTCTGTTTAATATTGAGCTCTACTTGAGGTGATTTTTATCCATAATGCAGACTTCATGAAGCTCTGTATTGATATTTCAAAGTCAGTGCCATTTGTGTTTTTCTCAGCTTTTAGAAAACCAACAGGATTCAAAAGAAATTGGATTACATGTTTGACATGTGTGGGTCATGTGGGGACCAGGGTACTTAACAGGGCTAATGAAAACGAAATTTTAAAATCACTTCTCATTTTTACCGAAGGCCAGATATGTAACCTTTGTTTCTAAGTGGAATCTCTTTCCAGACTTCGCTGGTACCTTAGGCTGCATGGCCCTGTGTGTAGTTCAGGCTGGCAAGCTCTTGCACTTTTAGCCCCATGTTCTAAGTTTCTCCCTGACTTCTTTTACCCATCAGTCTGGGTTTCTGAGAAGAATAATTTCTTATTTGCAAATTGGAAGCAGACCAGTTCTGAATCAACTCTGAATTTTTACAAAAAGCCTCCAGTGGAACTACAAAAAGGAAAAAATCCAATCCTGGAAAGACCTAGACTATTTCGTGAATTTGCAGTAGTCAATTTTCTGATTTCCAGGTAGTATAATTCCACTGCAATATGATACCAAGAATAAACTCCTCTTATGTACCCTAAGACCATTCATCACTGGCTTCCAGTTTTGGAGTGATGCAGGGTGCTGACAGGTATCTCTGGAGGCCTTGAGGATTTTGACTTTATCTCTCAGCTCTCGTTCTGAGCATGGCTAGCCTGGCTGTGTGATCCGTGCGGGCACCTGATCATCGTTTCATTTCTGTTGTCGCTAACCATAGCATGGATGTGTTTTTCTTTCTCCAGACTAACAAGGGGGATGAGCTCTCCAACCGGATCCAGAATACGTTAGGCAATTATGATGAAATGAAAGACTTTTTAACTGATAGATCCAATCAGAGTCATCTTGTTGGCGTCCCCAAACCAGGGGTTCCTCAGACTCCTGTGAACAAGATCGATGAACATTTTGTTGCAGATTCAAGAGCCCAGCCCCAGCCCCCATCTGTCTGTAGCACTGCATCCTCCACACCAGCAGCCGGCCCCGGGCAGCAGAATAAGAGAGGCACTGTGGGCTGGCAGAAGGCTGGGCACCCGCCGTCTGATGGCCAGCAGAGAACAGGTAAGTAGGAGTGTAGGGTGCTTGCTTTGCACACTGTGCTAACCCAAAGAACCAGAGTAAAAACCTGGGGTGTTCCACGTGGAGTCGCTCATTGTCATCTTCTCCTTCTTCGACTCAGCACCACAGGGCTCTCTCAGGACCTTGCTTGGAGATGGTGTTGGCAGACAGCAGCCCCGGGCCAAGCAAGTGTGCAATGTAGAGGTGGGGCTTCCGACCCAGGAAAGGCCACCTACAATGGCCACGAAGCACGGCAGCGGTGGACACTGTGTTCAGAACTTTCCTCCATCCCTGGCTTCAAAGCCCAGCCTGGTCCAGCAGAAACCAACTGCATATGTGCGGCCGATGGATGGCCAGGATCAAGCTCCTGATGAGTCTCCCAAGCTGAAGTCGTCCACGGAAGCTGGTGTGCACTATGCGTCCTACAGGGGAGTCCCAGCTGGCAAGCCAGAGTCGGCCAGGGCCAAGGCCAAGCTTTCCAAGTTTAGCATCCCGAAGCAAGGAGAGGTGAGTCTTTTCCCAGTGTCACTTTCATGCCACTGAAGAAGCTACGCGGCTTGGTGATGGTTGAAAATTCAACATCCAGGTGTCTTTTCTCTGACGATGTGGGTGAGTTCATGTGGTGGGATTTGTAGCAATCCCTATCAAGATGGACGGACATAAATAATGATTTCTTAACATTTCCAATTCATTATAATTGGAATTTTTAAAGTACCAATGGGGGAGTTGTGTGTGTGTGTGTGTGTGTGTGTGTGTGTGTGTGTGTAGGCTGCATATTAAGGAAGCACTGCTTCTTTCACTATAGTTTAAGAAATTCTTTTGTGAGCAAGGTAGTACTGACTGAAATGGGATATATTAGAAATTGAAGCATTTTTAAGGCTATACTTCTTAACATGTAAGAGGTAAAATATTTACATAAAATTTATATAAAAATTTATCTAATTATAATTTATATAATTTATAGAGTTCAAAAACTCAAAATATTAACTTTTTTTACATTTTAAAATATCCTAAAAAATTCATACAAGAACTCAATAATTTTTAAAGTACTTGCTTAAATTATTCAGTGTAAATATGGTGAATACTCAGATGTCCCAGATGGCCCATCCCTGTTGTAATATTCAAGATTCAGATTCATTGGTGTTGCTTAGAATTGTTATTGAACTCTCCTTGTCATATAAAAATAATCTTTGGTTGTGTGGGTAGATGAACCAAGGGAAGTATTTGAGTCCATATTTTTCTGGTTTGCGTTTCTATTTTATGTAAGGTATTTGTTTTTTGCATTACAAAAGGAGGTGTGTGGATGTGTTGAATTTTGGAATTCTGAACGAATAATTGCATGCTGACAGCTAGGAAGGGCGGTCAGCAGTTAGTCACTTGCACAGTAAACCTGGGCAGAAAATGAAGTTTTGTTTTAAAGAAGTACATATCACACTATATTCCAAATTGATTGTTTTTAAGAGCACATAGAGGAGAAGCAGGACAAGGCATATTTGTTGTTGTTTTGCTATGATATAGGATATTAGCTGCAATAGTCTGAGTCCTAGAACACTACCTAGGAACTATCAAGTTGTTTTTCTTTTTGATATAACTCTTTTTTTTTTTTCTTTCTGGGATACCTGGGATTGAAACTAGCGCCTTCCCACTGAGCTATATCTGTCCCCTGCTTTTTTATTTTGAGACAGGGTCTTGCTTGGTGACTAAGTTGCCCAGGCTGGCAAGTTGGAATCTTCTTGCCTCTGCCTCCCAGATTGCTGGGATTACAGGCTTGTACCACCACATTGGGTTAACCTGTTCTTTTTAAAGATGGAGTAACAGTGTGACCAACATAATCTTCGTATCTTAATTTGATTTAATAGCCAAATGAAACAAATGATTTGACATTTCTTGTTGCTTTCCTCAGATGTCCTCGTGGGCCATATGGGAGCTGAACATATCACCTTTAGCAGAGATGTCCTTTGTACCCTTGGAAATGTTTACACAGGTTTTAATGAGGAGAGTCAGTGACATGGACACCAGTAACTTCTTTTGATTACACATTTACGATAGGCTCTAGAAAGTGCTCGTTAGGAATTAATGGAGGCAAAATGTAATTTCTACAAGCATTTATGTTTTAAAAGTCCATAGAAAACACACAGAGACCATCTTATAAAACTGAACTCATCAGGCTCATGGGTTTTTGTCATCATTGCCAAATGACCTCTAGCGTGGTGACTAACTTAAACCACAGGAATCTCTTTATAACTTGGATCCCTATTGACTCTTTGCTAAAATGGTTTTTATCTACCAAAGCAATGTTAACATTATTAGGTAATAATTTGCTTATTCATTTTGGAACCTGGTAGGTCGATATACGTCGGGTTAAAAGGAAAAGATGCCTGTTTTTTGATAGCACAGTCTTCTGCGGATACCTTTTTTGAGTGTGTCATTAACAACTTGGATATTGTCAGGATGGCCTTTGAAGATCAGTGCGGGAATGACATGCCCTGTACTGTTCGCTCATCACAGAGAGGGGCCATGCCTAACATAGAGATGCATACTTATAGAAATCAAAGCTTTATACGGCCAGTATTTCATTTCCCCTACGTGTAAGGACACTTCCTGTCAGCCTTACCCTTCTCGCCTTGTGCCCTGAAACATCAGAGGCCGATCATCATGGATTGAAAAAAGACATGTGTGGTGTTGTTTGTAGAATAATACTTTAATTGGTAGGGAATCCTTTTGGAGGAAGGAATGCAGTCCTTGCTAAAGTAAAACACATTGCTCATTGAGAAAGGTATTATACATTGAATCCTGAAACACTTGTTAGTAAGCCTACCATCATAGGGAGAAAAGGAGTCTTTCATTGATAGTAGCCAAACAATGTCTATGAGTCACTTTCCCTCCCTTCTACTACAAGGATTTTTTTTTGACAGTATTCTAAGAGACAGTTAACAAACATCCTTTTGTAGGTACATTGTTCAGTATCTGTAGATCATTTCTATATGATCCACAACCGTTACATAGAAGCTGAACAATTTTATCAATCGGATTTACTTTGGAGGGAATATATGCTTTTGCTTTTTTGGTAGGGGTGAAATAATTTAATGTAACAAACAATTTCAGAAGTAGTCATACCTGTATATATTTTTTATATGGATACTATCACTATGAAAATTTCAACTCAGGAGTACTGATATTAATTTCCACTGAGGTAGGGAAGATGTCTTCTAGGGAAATTTACAGGAAAAAAAAAATGACCTGAAGGGAACTTGTATTACTTGACTAGAGTTATTTAGGATGTTTGCTGCAGGATGCAATTATCACAACGTGAAGTATTTAGAGGTTGAAAGGAAGCATTAGTTTAAAATGATGTAAAAACAAGAGGGGCTGCAAAAGTAGCTGTTTTGCGTTGAGAAGGTACATTTCTCATAAGAAAACCAGATCAATGACTAGGTGTAGTATAATGTGGGAAATTTAAAAAAAAAAAAATCTAGGATGTGATCTCAGCCTCCAGGCTATCTATCTACATGAATGGCATAAATTAGACTCTTAGCTTTTAATTTGCAGTTTCTTTCACTTACAATCCAAACTAAATTTAAAATTGGCCTTCCAGCCTGAGGAAAATTTCCTCACCTTCATCATCCTTGTAGTGGAAAAGTAATTCTGTGTTATTTTTTAAAATGGAGAATTTGTGAATGTGTTTTGCCTGATTTTACACTTCATAAACTCCCCGTTCTTTCTCTTACAACATCTGCACTCTATCTGCTGCCACGGCAAATTATTTGTTATAATTCTTTAGTCCTCAATAATAGGTAATTAGTGTAGAAAAATCCAGTGCAATTTGATGTGGAAGTTAAAGGCCTCAAGGGAATTCTTTAACTGATACACCTGCCTCTTGGCTGGTTTTTCCCAGCTCGGTTTTGTATTTAATGAAAAACATATTTTTGTTGTTATAGCCGAGTCTCTTATTCCCGGCGCCGCCCCTCATTATGAGTGCCTCCCAGGAGGCCCACTTGGAAGGTGTTTACTGTTAGGCAAGAGACAACGGACTTAACGAATGGCTGAAGCATGCATTCTAGAACATTCTAGGACATTCTAGGACAGGGCATGGCAAATTGTATTTCCAAGCAAAGTGAAGTGTTTCCTTCCCCAATTCGCACACACCTTAGCATACGATTTCAGATCTAGACAGAAACTGCATTCAGTTTGCTTGGCAGGCTATAGTTCTTGCAATGGTATTCCAAACTCTACGCATGTTAACTTGTTTGTTGTCACTTTAATAAATAGGGATGAGTTGAATCTGCAGTGGCAGAGGGCTCTGATGGCTGGGAGTGAAGCACGTGGAAGCCAGGAGGCACAGGCAGCCTCCTTCCCTACGGCTTAGTTGGTCAGGAAAGAGACCCCTACATTTGAGTATTGTGAGACTGGATGGTAGAAGTTTCAGTAGTGGTTACTGATTTATCCAAGGGAACAGAGTGACCGTTTTTGCTGATTGGAGTTTTATTTGTTAAAATGCGTAATGAAATGGTTTAAGGAGTATTGATTAATCACAGCCTTTTCATGATGGGCATTTAAAAAACAGCGTTTATGCCGCGAATGAGAGTGGGAAGATGAAGGACCGTGATTCTGTAAAATAGCTTCCTAGAAAAGCAATTAACTAATTTTTTTTAAGTTCACAGAAGATAAATGATGTAGGTTTCCTATTTCCTGTCACTGTTGGTTACCTTTGTATGAAAATGGATTTCTTCCAAATTAAAGTCAGCACCAGCCTGTCGGGCAGAAAAGGCATCTGCGAGCAGTGTGTACATTACATATTCATGCCAGTCGAAATTTCTTAATTACACTTGAGATGTATAATGTTTTCGAATTGAAATCTGCTTTCACATTGCTCCTGGATGCAGTGAGGATGTGTGTCAAGACTGGAGCCTCAGTTTCCCCACCTGCTGTGGCAGCCTCCTTCCCGTCACCCAAGACAGGTGGTGGCCACGTCCTGTGGGATGCTGCGGCTTTGCCCACAGTGCCACTTTCTGCTGCCTGCACCACCCTGAGCACCCACTTCTTGGATGGGGTCTTGTCCCAGTGATAATGCAGAAGGACAAAGATCCAAACCTGAATCTCACATGCTGGGTGAAAGCTCTTGTTTTTCTGGGTGAAAGCTCTTGTTTTCAAACTAGATCAGTTTGAAAGTCACAGAAGAGACTGGCACTTGGAAATGTTTCTGCACATTTGAGGTCTTTTGTGTTCAGCCACTGAGACCCTGAAGGGTAGGCATGTAATAACTTCAGATGACTGTGGTTTCTATAACCCTGACTGGAAAGCCTAGTATCCCTTCCCATTGCCTTTCTTCCTGGGGCTCCATTGGATTTATACTGTGAAGCTGACTTTTTCACTGGAGGCAATGCATTTCTGATGGTGGAGGTGCCGAGGGCTGGCCTTCAGGGAGATGATTCGCGTATTTCCCTGACTGTTTTCTCAGTACTTGTAAAGCTTCCAACCTCCGGAAGGCATCTGGGCAGACTGCGGGT